ACCCGAAATTTGAACCTTCGACCATAGAGTTGTTAGTAAAAGACTGCTGTATATTAAAAAAGGACCCAGATTTATAAAAGAAATAGAGAGAATTGGTGCGGTAACTTGCTATTTGTGAAATTGTAGAATTCAATGGCTTCTCTCGAATATGGTAACAATGCGAACAGCTGCGAAGAGCTTAAAGAGCCGAACAATAAAAAAATTTCTTAAAACAATTTCTGTTTACAAATCTCATTCGAGGTTTTTTTACACCTGTTTACCAAAATTTATTTCTGCTTGGGTGTTGAATAAAAATTGTCAAAATAGCGTCTTCAAGTGAAATGACACCTAAACAAAAGTTCGCCGAAGGTAAAATAATATTGGCGCTCCATTCTATTCTCGATGACTTTTGTAGTTTTATTTAATGTTAGGCGAAAAGGTGTTGTGTTTTCATGGACCTTTAATATATGAGGCGAAGGCATTAAAGAGCACCATAACTAAGGACAAACAAATTAAATATTACATTCATTATGCCGGCTGGAACAAAAAGTATGTATAAAATTAAACTGCGATATCATAGATTTTATTATGTACACATAACACAAATTATTTTTTTTACAAGTTGGGACGAATGGGTGCCAGAAAATCGTGTATTAAAATATAATGAAGCAAATGTACAAAGGCAAAAGGACGTTTTCAAGCAACATAGTTCAACAGCGGGAAAAAATAAGAAAGGTTTATTTAGACTTTTGTGGATTCTCAATGCTGAGTTAAGCGTACATATACATTTTTTCTAATTTTTATAGGTACTCCCAAAGCAAAAAAGAGTGAGGGCAACAGCTCCGCTACAAAAGATAGCGGAGCTAGCAGCGGCGGCAGTGAATCTCGAGCTTCTACACCTTCTAGAGAAATTAGTAGCGCATTGGCGGCGCCTGCGCCTACTTCTGGCAGCCGCGGCAATCGCTCGAAACAAGCGATCACTTGCACGGATATCCTTGCTAAAAAGGAAGATTCAAAAACCGAGGATTCGGCTAAGGAAGACAAAGATGATTCATCCAACAAAAAGAAACGTGGGGGATCGAATCAAAATATTAGTGATAAACCTAACAGCTCAGTAATTAATCCTAATCCTAATCCTGTTGCAGGCACCAATATTAGCAGTACGATTTCAAGCGCAATGCCCTCCACAGCACCGAATAACAATCGTTTCGATTCATGCGTTGAGAGTGAAGAGAGTTTTCTCTCCAAGATAGAGGTGAAAATTAAGATGCCAGATGAACTTAAGCAGTGCTTGGCGGATGATTGGGACGCCATTACTAGGCAGCATAAGCTTTTAGATTTACCTGCGAAAAATACTGTGCAAGATATTGTCGATCAATATGTAGCTTTCAAAAAATTGGCCAAGTCTACTAGCGCGTCCAAAGAGTTGGCCATCACCGATGTTCTAAACGGTGTTATAGAATATTTTAATGTAATGCTCGGATCTCAATTACTTTATAAATTTGAGAGGCCCCAGTATGCTGACATCTTACAACAACATCCTGAAACACCGCTCTCAAAATTATACGGTGCATTTCATTTGTTGCGTTTGTTTGTTAAACTGGGCTCAATGTTGGGCTATTCAGCTCTGGATGAGAAATCGATGCAAATGCTTTTGGCACATTTGCATGATTTTCTCAAATTCTTGGTCAAAAATAGCGCTATTTACTTTAGCATGTCCAATTTTGTCAATGTAAGTCCGGAATATCATCGCCACACTCAATGATTCTCGGGTGAAGAAAATTATTTAATTTATAACTTTTCTTCTGTAATGTTTAAATCCTCTGTAGCATTTGGCAATGTTTGGAATATCCATTATTTAATATTAAATTTGCTTTCGTCCTTTCTGTTCTTGATTATTTTTTATGCTCTTGTATGTAATTTTTCAATATATAATAAAATACTTATATATTAAAACGAAATTTATTTTTTAATAATGTTCAAGCTGTAAAAACCTTCAGTCATTTTCTTTACCACTATTATCATCGCTTATTTCTTCGTTGCTGCTTTTAGGATAAAATTCACTATAATTTTTCGGTTCGTCCTTTGCCTTTCTTTCTTCTTCAATGTAAGTATGTTGTACTTGCAGAACTTCTGCACTTGTCCTGCAGGCTGCATATTTATTAAGTAACATTTCATTGAGTTCAATAAAAGAATGACCCCACGAAAACTTGCTCATATACCAATTTGCTTCTAACCGAAAGCCACATATAAAAAGCGTCGCGGCAATCGCTTCAACACAGCTCAATTTACAAGGTTTTCCATAATTAATAGGATTCGCTGCCACCAAAAAAGGTAGTAAACGGGGATGAGGGCTACGCATTCTTGTAAATGGGGTTTCATCTAGCTTCGCCCAAGAACAATCAATTACAGCTACTCCTGAAGTGGCTATTATTTCTCGATCTGAAGGGCTCACACAATTAATACCTACTGGTGTTAGCACAAGACCGGAAAACTTTTCTCCCAATCGTAGATTTTGCATTAGACCTAAACGGCTTAATTTTCGACCAGAACACTTTCTTGGATCGCAATGCTTAAGGTCCCACATAGCGACAGGAAACGTCGGTGAGTATCTAAAGTTTTTTACAAATTTTTTGTAAATATGGAGAACGAAGAAAACAATATAATAGACAAATAAGAAGATCACAAACTTCTTCAATAATATACTTAATTTAAATTATTGTTTAGTAAAGAAGTAAGTTTGTAGAAATAACAAATTTTATTTTATGAAATCTAAATGCGGCTCCAAATTAGCCGAAAACCATACACCGAACCAAACCAAAAGTAAACAAAACTTACTTTGCTTCTGAACCAGAAGAAGAACTATCGCCGTCGCTACTTTCAATTGTCAATTCGCATTGCCTTTGCGTAAACGTCCGTTCGAAATTTCGTCTAGACTTTCCAGTTCGATATCGAGCGGCTGCTCTTCCTTTTTTACTATTTCTACCACTCATTTCACCTTAAAAATCACTACAATATGTAGCACACAAAGTTTATAAAGTTATAATATATTTTATAAAATTTTTTTACTTATTTAGTGACGTACGTACGAGAAAACAACGACCTACAAAGCTGCTACGCACTTCACTGTAAGAACTTGCAGCTACATTTCTAGCATGATATAATTTGAATTAATTACGGAATTAAGAAGGATAGTAATAGAAAAAATTGAAAAATGTCAATAATAAATAAATAATTAAATTGATATTTGTTACATTTTCAAATTTTCGTTTTATTTGCTTTTTGTATAAAATAAGGAAAATTTATTTAATCACAAACTAATCCTACAAGTGTGAACTTTTCTTAGCTTTTGTTTACTTCTATCAAAAAACATATGTATTTTTTCTTATATATATTCTGAGTGGTTTTTGTTCACTTTTAACATACCTACCGTTTGATTTTTGGAAATTCTAAGAGACTGTTCGTTCGATTTTTACAAATTCAGAGATACCATACCTTTCATACTAAAATAGTTGCGTATAAATTGAGAATAAACAGGGACGCAATAAAATATTTTCTATGATTCTAATGGTTTAGTAGATAATCCCCACCAGCAATCCCTACAAAACAGTGCTAATACAGGAAGTAGTTTTGGAATTTACGCAGTATTCCTACCAATAATGGACAATTTCAGCGCAGACGTTAGCGTGGGCCTAACACAGCTTCTCCTGGTAATCACATTGGTCCTAATTCTGACTCTCAACAGCAACAGCATACGAGTGTACATGTATGCATGAGCAGAATAATTGAAAATATTTATGGGAATGTGATACGTTAATGCAAAAAGGATAGAGAACATCACTCATATTCACTAAATCATAAATCACTTTCCATTTCTAACTTCAGCACAATTTTGCACCTGCGTTGTATTCATTTATAATCGCGGCATACAACAACGCAGATTATCTAGAAATTTCTTGAACCTTGAATTGTTCTAGAATTGTGTGCAAAAAAAATGGAAACTAGCGATCGAAATCGAGACCTTGATGTATCGCTTTGGTAACTTCAACAAACATGCATTCAATAATTCACAAATTTATTTTTATTATTACTCTTAGCATTATTCGCGCACTCTTAACTATTATGGAGTATACTTATTGTATAGTAACGATGTTTTAAGAATTAAAAGAAAAAAAATCTTATCGTTAATATCAATTATTAATTACTAAAATTAAGACATATTTTAAAGATATGTGAAATATAGTGGCTGTTACAATATTCTTGTAATTGTCCAAATTTCTCGGCAAAAGTCGTTAAGTAAGAACACCACGACAATCTAAATTGATATGCTCACTAAGTAGAAATCATGCTAAGTACTAATAACATTAGAATATTATATACTGAAAATGGAACAATTCATTTGTGACGGCCAGTGTCTGTAAAACTACTAATTAATTATTAACATATTTTGATTAAAGTGGCGCCCTTTATATACATCATCGAAGGATGAAGAGCATATTTATTTTGTCAAAGCGTTTGCAACCCTTAGACAAAAACCTCAGAGACACAACATGGTATATACATTCATGATCAGCATCAAAGAATAGAATAAACTGCATATGTGCATCGGATAACTGATCTAATTGGGAAAAGATTTGAAATAATTTATTTTCTTAGATGTATGGTTGCATATTGCTGCTGAAGATGAACGAAGAAATCCGCAGCTGGATTATGAAAATCGAATAAATTGATAATAAACCTGGGCACGACCAAATTGTTGTTTATAAATTGATAATAAACCGGGGCACGACCAAATAGTTGTTTATAAATTGATAATAAACCTGGGCCCGGCCAAATTGTTGTGTATAAATTGACAATAAATTTGGATCGAACTGAAGCCTTCCGAAATTGCCAAGAATTTTTTTCTATTTCGAGCCCATCAACGTAGAAAATAGAAAGGAGATAATACACAGAATACACCACACCCATCTAATCTTCTTGGAAATTTAAGCAAGAAGCTAACGCAGCAAAAATGGCCAATGAAAAGTTTGTTATGATGTTTACAAGATATTTCTCGATGTAACTTTTCATTCCTTTACAGCAAGAGTTCTTCGCTAATAAAATCTCCTTTAGAAGCATTTACGATGGCTTTAATATTTGTATTTATTGCAAAACCTAACGCAGATCGTCGAAAGGCCTTTGAGGACTGAAATTGCTATTTAACAGAGTTGAATCTTTGTTTTCTGTGAAGTTGGACAAAATTCTTTTTAGAATTTATTCTCTGGCTAAATTTATAATAATAATAATAATAATTTTACAAGTTAGCTTAAAAGTAGACCGCCACAATTTTTTATTATCAAATTAAACAAAACAGTAGCTAAATTTTCTGCTAATTTACAGAACGAACGTAATACTTTATGCTATTTACAGGAAAAACGTAATACTCTATGCTATTTACAGAGCGAACGTAACACTCTAGCTAATTTACAGAAAGAACGTAACTCTCTATGCTAATTTACAAAGCCGTCGGCAAAAGTCCACAATTTATTTCAAATTCGCTGTTAATCAATAAAAAACATCTGTTGAAATTCTATACAAACAAACAAACAAATAAAAAACATCTGTTGAAATTCTATACAAACAAACAAACAAATAAAAAACATCTGTTGAAATTCTATACAAACAAACAAACAATTTGGCAATTTAACAACAAAAACAACAGTAGTAGTGAATAAGCAGTGAATAAAGCATATAAATAAATAAAATAAAGTGAAAATAAAGTGAAAATAAATAAACCGTTTATAAAAGCCGTTTATAAAATTGCGGTTTTTCTTTACTTTTTTAACTTTAAATTAATTTGCATTAATTTACACCTAAAGGTAGGCAAGCAAAGTGAACGTTAAATTCTCTGCTAATTTACAGAGCGAACCTAATACTCTATGCTATTTATAGAAACAACGTAATAATTTATGTTAATTGTAAAGCCGTCGGCAAAAGTCCTCCAATTTTATATTTTTTATTGCTTGGCAACGGTATTTGTCCAAACTAGAAAACTAGTTATGACAACGGAGCGTTAGCAACGCAAACATAGAATTGATTGTGTCAGGACTTTTTTTTGAACATTTAACAGACTGAATGGCGTTACCATTTAAGTTGTTAAGTTGGGCATTTAACCATTTATTTATTATAAGCGACTCTGTGCTTTGCCTTTGCCTTTCAACAGGGAATTTAGCGAGGGTTTTGTCTACTTTGATACCTCATCATATTGAATGCATCGTTTGTGGGTGTTATTTCAAATTCTAATTTTTGTTTACATTCTAAAGAATTGTCGCTACTTTTGCTACTTATTTTGCTTATCATAATTTATATAGAAGTGTATATATAGAACTGTTTTGTTGTTTTTAGTATCATTAAAAGTTTTACTATTAAAACAAATATATATATATTTAAAATTTAAATATAAATATAAATAATAAATATATTTGCTTTTTGGAATTTCACTTTTTGCCTTCTTTATTCAATACGTTAATGTTATTTATTTACTATAGCAATGAAAATAAATTTATTGAAATCAAATTTGTTGAAAAATGATTTCATTTCTTTGCTATAAAATTTGTTTATTTTAGGCTAGTATATCACCAAGATGATGACCTGTAAAATATATGACCAGCAAGATGAAGACCGGTACAAAATATTCATGAGCAGCAAGATGATAACCTGTAAAATATATGACCAGCAAGAGGAAGACCGGTATTTTCACAACAACATGATGCCCTAAATGTATCTAGTTTTTAGTTTATATGGTTTATAAACTTTGCGTAAAGTAAGTTGATTTGAAATAAAATAAAGAAAAGTCGATTGAAATAAAATATTATAAAACACAATTTAAAACAAACGATAGGAAAAAATTTTAAGCAATAAAAAGGTGAGATTTGCTTTGCTAATGAAATAAGTTAGTTTCTGAAGATGGGCATAATTATTTACGTTAAAAAGGAAATTAATAAACCATTGAAAATTTATGTATATATTAATAATTTTCCTTTATACATTTGTCCTTATTTTTTCTTTATATAAAGTGTTATAAAATAACGTCATGTTTCTATTTGAAGGAACTATGTTTGAAATAATTCTGCAAGAACTTAATCACCTTGGTTTTTGCAAGCATTTAAACACCAGATATTTAACTTATCATTAATTACGACTACTAGTTTTTTTTTGCACCCATTATTCTCATTAAACAGAATTGATTCCGTTTGTTTGCACTACTTATTCTCCTTTAACAAAATTAATTATGCTTTTTTCCACCACTTATTGAAAGCAACTCTGTTCTCCCTCTATTCACAACATATGATATTTTTTTTTATAAATCATGTAAGGGAAAAAACCGGCTAACGGCTTTATGTATTACATTTAATGCTGTTAGATCTTAGGTTTTAAGGACTTTTAGCAAAATTGAAAGAATGCTGTATAAAAGTAGCAAATTATCTTCTAAGATTCTCGGGAAAGGGCCCAAGAGGTAAGCTAAGAATGCCGCCCAGAGAGTTATCGCTTACAATAAGCGATATTTATAAAACATAATAATTCGTAAGCGATTAAAGCGTACAAAATCAACTAAACATTTGATGAACTTCAATGCTCGCTCTAATGCTTAAACTAAACATTTATTGAAAATATTTCGTTTGACGGCTAATGTTAGTTATTTTACAACAATTGATATGAAAAGACAAATTTTTTCAAACGAATTCATATTTTTGAATTTCTTCTCCTTTGGGTAAAGTTAAGCTGTGTAATGAATGTATTTCTACAAATCCCAAACGTATTATGTTTTATTCGCCTATAAGAGCATTTCAATTTTGTCAGACGATACGTAGTACTAAAACGGATTCTTAAGTTGTGAGTCGACATGCCAAAGATTCCGCTCAAAGAATAGCGGCAACTTGTACATAGTTTGCCGGTTTTATTATGATCGCAAAAAAAATTTCCACTTCACTGTGTGTGTGGATATTCGTATATAAAACATAGTGATAAAAATTCCTGGGATCTACATTTGTTCTTTTACTAAAAGGTCTCGGTTCACGACTCTCTTAATTATATCCTACACCACGTGTAGTACACGGTATATTAAACTGTGCGGACGTACATAACAGTCAGAAGGGCATTAGATACAAAGTGAAAACATTTTGTGTACTTTCGATCCAAAATGTCGCTACTTTAACAAAGTGTTT